GGGGGGGCCGGGGGGGCCCCCAGGAGCTGCCGCCCCCCCCAGAAGGGCTGTGGGGGCTGGGGGTCCCCTGGGGACACGCGGGGGGTGACGCTGCTGTTGTTATTGTAGGGTCACCTGAGCTGGGGGGGGATCCGGGGGGGTTGAGGAGCCCCCAAATTGGGTCTGGGGGCCGTCTGTAACCCCCCCGTGTCCCCCCCGTGTCCCCCCAGCCCCGGGCTCGTGGCTCTGCTGATCCTCCGCGCTCCGCTCGTGTCCCCCATGGGCTCACCAGGTGGGTGTGGGGGGGACACCCCGCTCTGGGGACCCCCCCGGGCCTGGGACCCCCCCTCGTGTACGGGCCTGCCTTTGGGGACCCCCTTTGGACCCTTCCCCCCCGGCTGTGGGACCCCCTGGCCATGGAGCATCCCCAGCTTCTGGGGACCCCCCTCGGGCACCCCCCGGTTTTTGGGGCACCCCCTGGGTTCTGGGGACCCCCTCGGGCACTCCCCTGTTTTTGGGACCCCCTCTCGCGCCCCCCCGAGTTCTGGGGACCCCCCGTGTGCACCCCCCGAATTCTAGGGACCCTCTCGGGCACCCCCCGGTTCTGGGGACATCCCTAGGACACCCCCTGTTTTTGGGACCCACATCGGGCCCCCCCGGGTTTTGGGGACCCCCCTCGGGCACCCCCAGGGTCACAGCATGGTGACACCCCCCCGGGTGTCCCGGATTTGGGGACAGGACAGGTTTAACCCTTGGGTGGCACTTGGGTGGGTGAACCAGGGGTCCCCCCAGGGTTTGGGGGGCACTGTGGAGCCCCCCGGGGTGCCCTGTCCGGGCTCTGGGGGGGTCCCTCAGTGCCCACACTCAGGGGGTTTTGGGGGGCCATGTTCACATCTTGCTGGACCCCCAGACTCTGGGGTCTTGGGGTCTCTATATCCAGTCTCAGAGGATTTTGGGGGTCCATGCCCCGTGTCAGAGGGGTTTTGGGGGTCCATGCCCAGGCTCTGAGAGGTTTTTGGGGGTCCGTGCCCAGTTCAGAGGGGTTTGGGGTCGTCTGTGTCCAGTCTCAGAAGTTTGGGGGTCCCTGCTCAGCCTCTGAGAGTTTTTGGGGTTCATACCCTGTCTCAGACAATTTTGGGGGTCCATGCCCAGGTTCTCTGAGGTTTTGGGGGGGTCCATTCCCAGTCTCAGAAGTTTTGGGGTCCCTGCTCAGTCTCTGGCAGTTTTTGGGGCTCCATGCCCAGTCTCAGGCTTTGCAGATCCCACGCCCAGATTTTGGGGTTCAGAGGGTCCCACGGCCAGCCCTTGATGGTTTTGGGGTGCCCCTCCCCGTGTTTGTCCTGTCAAGGATGTCGGGGTGTGTGGGGGCCACCAGGTGATGCTGCCAGTGGGGGTCCAGTCCCTGGTGGTTTTGGGGGTCCCATGCCCACTCCCTGGGGTTTTTGGGGGTCCATGCCCAGTCCCTGGGGTTTTGGGGGTCCATGCCCACTCCCGGGTGTTTCAGGGGCCCATACTCAGTCCTGGGTGTTTCGGGGTGCCCGTGGCTGTTTCGGGGTGCCCGTTCCCATCCCCAGCTGTCTGGTGCCCGTCCCCAGCCCCGGCTGCCTGGTGCCTGTTCCCGCTGCCCGGTGCCCGTCCCCGGCTGCCCGGTGCCTGTTCCCGGGTGCCCGTTTCCATCCCCGCTGCCCGGTGTCCACTTGATGGTTTTGGGGTGCCCCTCCCCGTGTTTGTCCTGTCAAGGATGTCGGGGTGTGTGGGGGCCACCAGGTGATGCTGCCAGTGGGGGTCCAGTCCCTGGTGGTTTTGGGGGTCCCATGCCCACTCCCTGGGGTTTTTGGGGGTCCATGCCCAGTCCCTGGGGTTTTGGGGGTCCATGCCCACTCCCGGGTGTTTCAGGGGCCCATACTCAGTCCTGGGTGTTTCGGGGTGCCCGTGGCTGTTTCGGGGTGCCCGTTCCCATCCCCAGCTGTCTGGTGCCCGTCCCCAGCCCCGGCTGCCCGGTGCCCGTTCCCGGTGCCCGTTCCCGGTGCCCGGTGCCCGTTCCCATCCCCGCTGCCCGCTGCCCGTCCCCGCTGCCCGCTGCCCGGTGCTGACGGCTCGCGGCTGTCCCGCAGTGTCGTTCGTGCTCTCGAGGATGTCGGGCTGCGGGGGCCCCGCCAAGAGCCGGGTGACGGTGCCCAAGCGCGTGTGGGAGTTCGTGACGCGGGAGCGCGCGGCGCGCCTGGCGCTGCTGGCGCAGGAGGCGCGGGTGCGGATCCTGGTGGACGGCGAGACCCCCGAGCTGTACGTGCTGCAGCTCTGCGCGACCCCCCCGGGCCCCCCCGGCGGCGCGGGGCTCTGCCCGGCCCGCAAGGCGCTCAAGGCGCTGCTCAAGGAGACGGAGAAGGAGCTGAAGAAGCGCAGCCAGCGGCACGGGGAGGTGCTGGGGGCCCGGCCGGAGCCCCCCGCGGGCGCCGCGGGCTCTCCCGGCGCGGGCCCGGCGCGGGACGAGGAGCCGGAGCGGCAGTGCCCGATCTGCCTGGGCGAGATGCGCGGGCCGCGCACGCTGGAGCGCTGCCGGCACTCGTTCTGCGGGGAGTGCATCGCCCGGGCGCTGCAGGTGCGCTCCGCCTGCCCCGTCTGCGGCCGCTTCTACGGGCAGCTGGTGGGCAACCAGCCCCCCGACGGGCGCATGCTGGTCACCCGCGACGCCGCGCTGCCCCTGCCCGGCTACGAGGCCTTCGGCACCATCATCATCCAGTACGTCTTCCCGCCCGGCGTGCAGGGGGTGAGTGCGGCACGGCTGCTGCGGGGGGAGGGGGCTCCCGTCGTGCTGGGCGATCCCGAATCCCCATGGAGGGACCTGGCCCAGCCCTGAGCCCCCAGCGCCCCCACGGGCTCCCCGAATGCCCCGGGTTTGGCTCTGTGCCCCCAGTGCCCCTCGCTGTCCCCAAATCCTGCTGGGTGTCCCCAGCATCCCTGGGTGTCCCCAAATCCTGCTGGGTGTCCCCAAATCCTGCTGGGTCTCCCCAACGTTCCTGGGTTTACCCAGTGTTCCTGGGTGTCCCCAAATCCTGCTGGGTCTTCACAGCTTTCCTGGGTGTCCTCAGCGTCCCAGGGTGCCCCCAAATCCTGCTGGGTGTTCCCAGCGTCCCTGGGTGTCCCCAGCGTCCCTGGGTGTCCCCAAATCCTGCTGGGTGTCCCCAAATCCTGCTGGGTCTCCCCAGCTTTCCTGGGTGTCCCCAAATCCTGCTGGGTCTTCACAGCTTTCCTGGGTGTCCTCAGCGTCCCAGGGTGCCCCCAAATCCTGCTGGGTGTTCCCAGCGTCCCTGGGTGTCCCCAAATCCCACTGGGTGTCCCCAGCACTCCTGGGTGTTCCCAGATCCTGCTGGGTGTCCCCAGCACCCCTAGGTGCCCCCAAGTGCACAGTGTGTGGCCCTGGCACCCCTGGGTGTCCCCAAGTCCTGCTGGGTGGCCTGGCACAGTACTGTGTCCCCAGCACCCTCAGGTCCTGATGGATGGCCCTGGGTGTCCCCAAATAGCCCTGACCCAGCTCTGTGCCCCCAATGCCCCTGGGTGTCCCCAAACCCTGCTGGGTGTCCCCAGTGCCCCTGGGTGTCCCCAACCCCTGCTGGGTGTACCCAGCATCCCTGGGCCACCCACACATCCTGGCAGGTGTCCCTGGGTGTTCCCAAATCCTTTTGGGTGTTGCTGACACCCCTGGTGTCCCCAAATGCCCCTGTGTCCCTAACAGCCCTGGGTGCTCCCAGTGCCCCTGGGTACCCCAAACCCTGCTGGGTGCCCCCAGCCCTGATCCCCATCCCCCCATCCCTCCTGTCCCCATCCCTTGCCCCTCCCCCTGTCCCCCTGTCCCCCTGCCCTTACCTGCTGTGTGTCCCCTCCATCCCCCATGGGTGCAGTACCTGGGCACCACACGGGCACCTGTCCTGTGAGCTGCCCATCACTCCTTCCCCACACCTGTGCCCCCTGTACCTGCACCTGGGGCTGCAGCACCCCAGGACCAGACAGAGCCTGGCATGTGTCCCCTTGTGCCCCTGTCACTGCCCCCTTACCTGTGACCCCCCACGTCTGGAACCCAAACCTGGTGTGTGACACCTGTGCCCCCTCACCTGTCCCCTGCCCTGTGCAGGGGTGTGGTGCCTGGGCACAAGGGCACTGACACCTGTGCCCCCCTGGACTCTGTCCCCCACCCGATGCAAGTGTGCAGTACCTGGGCATCACATGGGCACTGACGCCTGTGCCC